CCCCCCCCCCCCCCCCCCCACCCCCTTTCACTTTGATGTTTTCCTTTGATTTATATTACTTTGTTTTTTTGTTTGTTTTTGTATTATTAAATATAGTTACACCCAAAAAAACATTTGTTTGCATTTTGGGAAGCAGAGCATCATTAATTTCCCGTTGGTGTTGAATTGTTATCATGATAAAACAACATATATACCCTAAGAATTTCGCAGGTCCTTTGCATTCTGCAGAAAGTTGAGGTTTTTGTTCTGGAATTTTTTTTGCCTCTTCATTTCATGATTTATCTCAAACATAAACGTCGATTTGAGTTTGGGCAATATTTAATGCGGTTTCATGCTTCATCCAGACTAGAAAAAAACAGCAATTGTGTCATGAGACTAGGATAAAGTTATTGCTGATTTACATGGATTTCCTTTAAGTCATGATTTTTCTTGAATTTGGAAGGTAATTGTGTTAGATTGTTGATGCATTATTGCTGCATTTACTGCCCAAAACTCCATAGAAAGTAATGAGTTCATCATTCTGATCATATTGGTGTTGATGGCAATGCAGAGGGATTCCCCCGGGGTAATGAGTGTTTCAAGATTAAAATGCTTGGATTTAAGGACTATGATCATTCTGCTGGTGGCAGTCCCAACATGTGTGGCTGCTATATACGTACACGGACAAAAGGTGACATATTTCTTGCGCCCACTCTGGCAGTCTCCCCCGAAGCCGTTCATCCACGTGGCCCACTACCACCACGAGAACGTGTCGATGGAGAGACTGTGCGCGCTCCACGGGTGGGGAATCCGCGTGTACCCGAGGCGCGTTTTCGATGCAGTTCTCTTCAGCAATGAGGTGGACATGCTCTCCATCAGGTGGCAAGAACTGTACCCTTACATCACGCGTTTCGTGCTTCTAGAATCCAACTCCACTTTCACTGCCCTCCCCAAGCCTTATGTTTTTGCCATGAACCGCGACCGGTTTGGGTTCGTGGAGCCACGCCTGAGCTATGGAACCATTGGGGGCAGGTTCAGGAGAGGGGAGAATCCGTTCATTGAGGAGGCGTACCAGAGGGTGGGGCTGGACCAGCTTCTGAGGTTAGCTGGGATAGAGGACGACGATTTGCTCATAATGTCTGATGTGGATGAGATACCAAGCAGGCACACAATCAACCTTCTGAGGTGGTGCGACGATGTCCCTCCTGTCTTGCATCTCCAGCTGAGGAATTATCTCTACTCTTTTGAGTTTTTTGTGGACCATGGAAGCTGGAGGGCTTCTGTTCATAGGTATAGGGCAGGTGAGACACGGTATGCGCATTTTCGTAGGACAGATTACCTTCTGGCAGACTCTGGCTGGCACTGCAGCTTCTGTTTTCGCCACATTAGTGATTTTGTGTTCAAAATGAAGGCCTATAGCCACACGGACCGGGTGAGGTTTTCACATTTTCTGGACCCCAAGAGGATCCAAGATGTCATCTGCAGAGGAGCAGATTTGTATGACATGATCCCGGAGGAATATACTTTCAAGGACATCATCGCGAAGATGGGCCCCGTTCCTCGTTCTTATTCGGCAGTTCATCTGCCTTCTTATTTGCTGAACAATGCTGACCAGTACAAATATCTTCTCCCTGGGAATTGCATAAGAGAAGCTGGATAAAGTTCTGACTGCAGCATAATTTTGGTTGGTGATCTTTTTTTAGCAGAAGCACTCTGATTTCTTCTAGGTCAGTTAAACACTATGTCAGCCTTTCTGGCATTCGTACAGGGACGGGCTCTTCAAGGACAAATGTCTTTCAAAATCCTCAAGCAAATACAATGGCTTAGGCGAGTCGGGTGAAGACAAATGTCTTTCGTTATGTTATTTGAATGATCCTCTGGCTGCTGTCATATACAGCTTATATGACAACTCCAGTCTACTGTAGATGTCAGCTGTTTTTTTAGTTTACACTTCTTTTTAACAGAGTTTAACTTGTATTTCTACAATACTCCCTTTTAGTTTAGATGTGAATGCCAACTATGATGTAAATTGTCAAGTGATTTGCAACTAAAGGTCACTACTTATTGCTTGAGTAACCCTCCACTGCTTGGTGCATAATTTATTACTACCAAGTATTATATTTGCCTTGATAGAAAAAAATAGGATCACATGTATCTTCATTTTAAGATTTTTTGTTTAAAATTTGTAACTTTATTAATCTATTTTAACAGCCTCCCTACATTAAACATTGTTTTTTTAATTCTACATCAAACATTATAAGCAACAGAATTACGCAAATAAATTTTCCATTTCCAAAGAGTGATGAGATGATGTATTATCAGGAAGGAGTGTTACAATACAAAGAAAACCCAAGGAAACTGCCAGGAAGTTTACACAATATTTTCCATGCATTGTTTTCCCCAATAATGTGTCAATACATCACAACCTGCTATAATCACCAATAAATAGAATTTGCCCAAATCTCTATGCATAACCAACGCACTGCACGAAAAAAAGGCCTTGGTAGCAGCCTCTGCCTTCCAAGACAATACTTCGCGAGATTCAGTTGTACGAATAATGAATATTCATCTCCAGATCACATAAACAAGTGACCCATAAACATGCATTTCTGATGGATATGAACTCCTAAAGCGGTATAACCACACTTTGTGGTCCACTCTCGTTTTGCACAAGACAATCCTCACACCAGGTTGCTCAATACACATTCCTATGGCTCTAGTTACAAAAACAGAGACTTTTGGCTAGTCACTGTCCCATTTATCCTCTTGCCTTGACTCTTTAGCCTTCATAATATTCCTGTCACTCCTTTTGTTTTTACCCGCAGTACCTTTGGTTCTGTAATCATGTAAGGGGGTACTTGATTCTTTTGTGCACTCTTCGTCTGTGTTGTCAGATTCCCACATTGCATCGTCAAGATCACTTAACATATCATCTGAACCAGACTCGTCTACCGTCTTCCCATCAAACTTAGGTTTACCATATACCTTGGAGTTTTCATTACCCCTATCCTTGCCATTATTAGGATTTCCCCAGCTTCTCGTGCTTTGATTACTTCTTCTGTACTCTCTATTATGAGTATCATAATTACGATTTGATCTAGTATCATTAGAATCACATGTATCATCATTGTCAGAAATCTCGTCATCTCCATCGCTGACATCGTGGTCAAACTTCATGCCACGTTTATCATTCCATCTCCTAGTCCCTCCTACCATGTCATCATCTGATTCATCATCACTTACATTGCTTCCCGAACTTCTAGGTCGATGACCACCAAAATCCCCCTGATTCAAATATCTAATTCTCCCAAGTTCTTCCTTCTCGGCTTCTTCCTCAGCAGCCCATTCTCTATCAGCTTCCCTTTCTATATCAGCTATAAAACGGTCAAGCTCCTCCTGATCACTTTCTTCATCAGATTGATGTCGCCCAATGTCACTGCTGGAGCGCACTTGGTCGCTTTTATTTCCTTGGAAAACATACGGACTTCCTTCTTTCTGGTCAATGGCATTGAAAAATGTGGAAGCTACGCGCTGGATGCTGGCCATGGCAACAGGATCATCAGGATTTACCCCCTTTTTGCGGAGTTTCTGTTCATACTCCTTTATGTTCAGTTTCTGAGAATCTAGAGCTTGCTCAAATCTAGCTTTGAATAGTGCCTGGAAGCCAACAGAGAAAGTCAAATATATACTCCATATATAGTTTTGCACATATCTGATCCATCATTTGAATATAATTGAACTTTCAGCAAGTAACTAGTTAGAGCCTATTTGAGACAGCTTATTGTTTATGTTATGTGCCTTTACCATAAGTGCTTTCTCATCTAAACAAAGTGCTTTTTTTAAAAGCAGCAATCAACTGCTTCTAAAAGAATGAAAAAGTGATTTTTACAGATTTTTTTCTCTACCAAGCCTTTCTTTTTGAAGTAAGAGCACTTATCTTAATCTAGAAAGCACTTATTCTTTGACAATTAGTCATCCCAAATGAAATCTTAGATTCTATTACCAATGAAACCCATCTCAATATATAAGTGAAAACCTTGCTTCCATTGTTTGAAAATTAAAAATGGTACAAGCTGATGGCTAAATGCTGACCTTCCTTTTTGTAAGTGTGTTGATGGGAATCAGATTTTTCGGTTGCCTGTAGTTTCTTCCACGGAACATAATAATTGTTTTCACATTATGAATGTTAACCACAATGCCGCCGCTAAGTCGTGCTAACATGGACGCCATCTCCTTAATTTTTTCTTTGGGGTAATTATCACAACAAACTTGCACAGTTTCATGGAACTTCCAATGAAGATGCATGTTTTGTACAACTCCTCCGAAAACACCACGGACACCAACAGGAACATAGTTCCTATTCTTGTAACCAATTTTCTTGTATGCCTGGAGCTGCTCGGGTGTCAAAAGCTCAGGATCATGCTTTGGTGATGGCAACTCCGGAAGCTCATATTTTTTCAGCTTTTGAAGAAGCAATGCCACTTTCTTTTTCGCCTATATAGTGAAAAAGAGAAACATGAGAACACTAATGGCCACATAACCTCCCCCTAACATAAAGGGATCGCCTTTCTTCATCATAACAAAAGAATTGAAAATTAGAAAACTGCAGTCACACATTAAGATTTAAGAGAAGTTAGTAAGGAATTAAAAATCAAATTAGTGCATTTCTTTAGGGATGTGATAAGGTGGAATTAGAAACACACTCTTCTGATGTTGTAAAGAAGTCGCTCCTCTTCAGTCATCAACTTCTTCCGAAGTTTACCAGCTCTTCTACGTTCTCTTAGGGTTTTGCCGGACTCCTTCATCAGCCGCGCCTCCACTTTGCTTCTCATGCTCCTGCCCGACATCCCTCGAGCCCCGTCAAAGCGATTCCACATTCTATTCAACGTGAATGGCTCCGCTGCCTCTTTAACTATATGAAATGCCGACTGAAAATTCCCGCCGTTGACAGGCTGAGAATTGCATCCTCTCAGTAGCATTGCATGCCTGATTTTACAAATCAACAGTATCGATCAGAAAATAAAACCAAATCAAACAAGAAATAACAGCGAAAATGATAATAAGCAATAAGAGGGGGGATCAACTGGAGGAGATGGTGCATACTGTGCGGTGGGATTGCCGGAAATGAGAAGAGTGAGGGCTCTGACAGAGTGCCTTTGAAGACTTCTTGCGGTGAACATCGCGGTGGCGTAGCGAGAGCGGCGACCAAATCCAACCGAAGACGAACAAGAACGATCACAAAGCCATTGTCATATTGCACGGGAGCCTGAGGCGCGGCGACGGCAGCCGCCGGGTTTAGGGTTTTCCGCCTATTGACCCGACTGTGAGTTGGGAAATTGAGTAATTCTTCCAGGCCCGAAAGTAAATCTCACAGTTCATCTCATTTTGCCATTTTGGTTTGACTAAACCAAAAATCATAACCAAATTTTTGGACTATTTGACCTTATTTTAGAATCACATGTCAACTTTTGAATGTAACTCAATTCATTTTTTTGAGGGAATGTAACTCTATTCATTATTCATTCCAAAAAAATTAAAACCATTGGGATACTAAAAATAATTATACATTATTTATATACTAAAAATAAATGTTGACACTTTATATTAATCTGTATTTGTCTTAGTGTTGCTCTAGCATTTCCAAAAAATAATAACTCAATTCGGGGACATAGGGTGAACAATTGACTTATTTTTTACTCCGTATATATTAGTAAAATTAGACAAAAGATAAATAATTAGGGACCAAATCACAAATACAACACTTACTACAACTTAATCACTACATACAAACACTAAACGCAGACAAGGAATTGCTCCAAGTACTAAAACCACTGCACGACATGGATGACAGCATAGTATTAATCATTCCAAATATCCACACAAATCATACTGGGTTTACAAAAACACATACATTCTTGAATTGTCACCTTTAACAATAAACCAAATTGTTAGAACACAAAAGCATATGATACACACAATAATGAACTGAAGCTGATGAAGGTTGTATCAAAATGAGGCCAAATCTCAAAATCAAAACTGGACTCTCATCATCATTCTTCAGGAATCCTCCCCGACCTCAAAATGCCATCAACGAACTCGGATTCGGGACAAGATCTATCATAACCGGTCTAGCCAGCTAGAGATGCTGTCTTGAGATCCAAACTGCAGATCCTGCAAAGAAAACTCTGGCAGAGTGTCCATTTCCAGGTTCAAGAGATCATCCACTGGGGACACGGCCAAGGAGTGATCGCATGAAGGCGTTTCTCCAGCACGAGGAGGATTTGGGATGGCAGCCATTGGAGTCTTGGGAATGTCTTGGCAGGCAGTCCACCTATCTGAATAATATTCCCCCTTGGGATGGTGAAGATGAACAAGAACATCATTGTTATTGTTATTAGCACTCATTGTCATCATCTTGTCGGTCTGCTTCTGCTGCTGATAGTAAATCTTTGAGACCACGAACCCGCCTTCCTTCTCATCCTCATCACTCCCCAGATGGTACTGGTGCATCACCCAATTCGTCTTTTCAGGCTTTTCGCCCTTCTTGGCGCTCCTGTAAAGGACCATCACCTTCTTGCACCCCTTCTGAACTCCCCTCTCCATCACAGCTTTGGTCTTCCCAGTCTTGTGCCAGCGCACGCGCTCTACCATCAAACTTTGCTCGTTGCTAATCTTCCTACGCTTTCGTTTCCCAGTCGCGTACGCCTTTTTGGTTCTGTAAAAGAAGTGAATGCTGCTTCCATCCTTTTTGGCACCTAAATGGCATACCCAAAGTAATTAACTTTTTGGCCGAGTTTGTTTCTTGACAATACAAAATCGCATTGTACTCAAATCAATTAAGTGCTAGTTAGTTTTCTGGAGGCGTACCGGGAAGGTTCTCTGGATGAGTGTAGCAAATTCCATCATCGCCCTCGAGTGTGGGGATGAACTCATCAAGAAACATGTGGGGTTCCAAGCTTCCTTCCCCGCATTTGGCTGCTAGATGTTCCAAGAGCTCCGCATCAGAGGGCTCAAACTTTACACCAGCAGGAAAGCCAGGCCAGTCCTGGTAAACCTGAAATAAGAGCAATACCAGAGCATATATATAATGAATCACTTTCCTTTTGATAGCAGAGTCTGCTAAGAGCACACTCAATTCTAATTTGCAGAAAAAAGTATTTTACATCGCTGTTGTCGATAATGTGATGGCAATTTGGGCATTCGCGAGTCGCCCCACAATCTTGGACTCCATGTTTTTCAGGGACATTGGCATTTCTCACTTTCTGTGCAAGTCCTCTGCTATTTATCAGCCAAGACCTGAAGCAAGACAAGACAGTGTGTGCGTGTGAGATTCACTTAAATTCACTGTGATCATATATAAGCATTCTAGGAAAGGAATTTATTATTATTTCCGCTTTTGGAAAAAACACACACTGAATTTGTTGTATGTATTCTTCACAATCCTCATTTGTGCAGGGTACAGATTGTTTGCATCAATACATTAGAGTACATTCTAATTTCTGCTCTCTCAATTTATATATATCAACCTAATATGATAATTAAATTTCCCATGAATCACTACCTCAACAAGTAAGAAACCAACTTCTTCCATGTACATTCAAGAATCGGATTAATCGCCCAATAAAGTATTTTCTTTCAGTTTTATCCTTCTAAAAATGGCAACTTTTGGGGGGGTTTTGACTTTCTTTTTTTTTATTATTCAAAAAAATGGTTCTTTTTTTTTTTGAGGAAAAAAAATGGGTTCTTTTCGAATCCCGGGTGCAATGAAAAGTGAAAAATCCATTATCATCGATCACAAAGAAATCCAAGAAGAACTCTATCTATCTCAAGCATCCCATCCCAGCAGAAGCATCCCAGCAGATAAAATCCAAATTATTTAAAAAAAACACTAATAAAATGGCATTAATAATAATTTGCATCCCTCGGACGATTGATTGAATCTCACCTTCCCATACATAAACCACTCCTTCAAGGAAAGAATCGAAGAAGAAATATTCAAGAAAAAAGAGATCCTTTGATTCAAACCAGAAAAACTGAGTTTCTTGAAATGAATCTGCAGAGAGAAGAAGAAGAAGAAGAAGAAGTTGTTCTTGAGTAACCGTGTGGTTGACTCGGAGTCGTTACATATATCCCCCTTTCTCCATCGAGCTAAGAAATCGAGAGTGTGCTTGTAGCGGGAAAACCTTGGCTCGGGAACAATGGCCAGAGGTTCGGATTCAAGCTCTCCACTCTGTTACTGGCCAGAAGCAGAGGTTCGGGTGGGGCCCGGCGTTTACTAAAAGCCAGTGTCCGAACCTGGACATCCGAGCCCGGGGGGGCAATATGGTAAATGACTGCACGCTGTGACTTGCACCCCAAGCTATACGACTGGAACTGGAAATAATACCACGCGGCGCAGTGGGACTGGAAGTGCCCCTCACTTTGCTCGAAATTACGTGTCCAGCACCACCACGCTGTCGCCCGGTTTTTACGCGGCTGGTGGGGTCTTTTTCTGTTGTGGTAAATATTTTTGGGCATTTTTATTTATTGAGGCATAAACATTGGGGGAAGGAGTATTAAAAAATATTTGGGCACTAAATCCGAGGAAGGGGATTTGATGCACCAGCATTAAACGTTACCAAGCTTCTCTTACAAGCTCTCCATCTCTTTGTTAATTGTTATGCTTCTCGACCACAAATAGAGTAACAAAATACAGCTCTATTCATTTGGATTGGCTAAGTTTCAAATTTTTTCTTTTTTTTTGTTTCTTCTAACATTTTTCTAGGTTCTTCTAACATATTTCCTCTGTTCCAAAATATTTTGTACTTTTGCCTCGTTTTTTGAAATGTATTCCCTCTGTATCATTTTAAATTGCTTGTTTGCCTTTTTTCTCCATCCCAAAATAAATTGCCTGTTAGTTTTTTTCGTAAACATTTAAAAATAAAATACTTAAACTACCCCTAAAATAAGTCACCCTTCTTCATCTTATCTTCTCATTCATCATCACCCCTCCTAAAAAGTAATGTCAATTTTGAAAAATCAATTCTATTTTTTTATTTTCCTTAAATATGCTCAAAAGTCAAAACAGACGATTTAAATTGGGACGGAGGGAGTAGTAAATATTTAGAGACGACAAAGTATAATTCTATTTTTAGAACCCAAATGAATAGAGCTGTCACGTTGGCAAACTACTATTTTCCTTCACATGTAATTTATTATTCTACTTGAGTGGCATGCTAATCATTATCGGTTAATGTATCATAAAAATCATAGTGATCAGTTAAATTTGAATACAAGGGAAAAGATAATGAAAAACTTATTCTGTTAAATTTCATTTAAAAAATTAAGAAAACAACTAGAAATTTTTCCAATCGTCACAACTTTGTCTTGCTCGCCTAACTCACTATCCGGCTGCAGAATTTAATTACAAGTTTCAATACCTTTAATTATTTTACATATTAATAATATGATGCACACCACACCAAACGTGTGTTTGGTTGAACATTACTTGTGAACATTTATTTTTTATAAAAGTAGATAACAATGAAATCTGAACATGTGACCTTTACTGATACTATTTTTAATGAACCTACACAACCAATGGTTGGACTAAAAATACATTTTTTTACATTAAACATTTCTCAATAGCAAATAAACATGCATTGGATGAAACCTTATTTTACAACTCTATGATACGATGATTATCATTATTACATTATCAACCTACAATTACAGCTCTTGTAACCAAGGCTCTCCATTCTCAGTCAGAACTAAATTAGAATGCAAAGTGACTTTATTATGAGGGCAAACTCAATAGCACTGTTTAAAGCAGAGGAACAAGCCCTTGCGGTCGTTACTCTCTAATGGCGGGGTTCTGGGGGTGGGATCTTCTGAGGAGGAGTCGCCGCGCTTCCCCATCAGGGAGCTTGTCCCTGGAGACTCTGGTGGAAACACGGCGGCATTCTCTGAAGCGAAGATTCTTGGAGGTATAGGGGGCAGCATTTCAAGAGGGGACAATGTTGAGAGGCAGTGGAGAAGCATCTGTATGATCTGTGTGAAGTTGGGGCGCGCGTTTGGATCTTCTTTCCAGCACGATGTCACGATTTCTGCTATGTCTTCTGGCAGTTCGTCAGCACTAGGCCTTACGTTCTGCACCACATGATTTTTGTGTTTTAAATAAGAAAGAAACCTAAGTGTTGGTAATGTTAAATCAATCTGTCAAAAAATTCAAGCTTCTGAATGTGAACCCAGATAATGTTTTATACTCTCAATGTAATCCCTCAAGAATCTAAGTGGGTGTTTGTTATCACTGCATTCCAGCTTCTTGGATAGAAGCTGAATGACATATTGTATGGGAAAAGAAACACACGGGGTGAGAGAAGAAAATAAAGAAAGGAAAATTACTTTAAAAGCAGCAGCATAGGCAGCCTGGAGATTGGACATGCCCTCAAATGGTAACTTATTATGTATGAGCTCCCACAACACAATGGCAAAACTGTAGGCATCGACTTTGTGGTTGTAATGCTTTTTCTCTCCGTGCCTTAGTGTAACTGTGCTGTAGAGCTTCCAAGTTCCAAACATGTATATATGTACAACCATCCAGTTACATATTATTATTATTATTCACTTGAAGAGTCATATAGATGATGATGGTGATGAGCACAGAAGAAGTGCAAAATGATACTATGAGTGATTTTTGTGAGTACCTCGGGAGCCATCCAGCGATAGGTTCCAGTTTCAGCAGTCATCATCTCCGTCAGTGATTCTTCTCTTGCCAGACCAAAGTCAGCAAGTTTAACGGTCTTATGGTCAGCTGTTAGGAGCAAGTTTTCTGTAGCCATATATTTCATGTGAAAACTAAATTAGAGAATCTTCACTTAGAGTGCCCAACTTGAATGCCATCAGGTTAGGTTTGGAATGCCCAACTAAATTAGATAAGTTTTTTTAAAAAAAAATCCAAAATTGATTTACTATCAAGTTTAACCATTTTTATTTTATTTTATTTCCTTCTAGATTTCCCATCTGTTTGCATCTTGTTTTCTTTTCCAAACATTTTCAGGAACTAGAGCTATAAATGGTATAACATAGTATGTGCGGAACTCCTAAGCCAAGATAGAAGAGATATCATGGAACAAGCACAAAAAATAAGTTTGCATGCATAACCACGACAAAAACCAAGAACCAAATTTGTCTCCACAACACAATATCCATTAAAAATAGGACTAAAGAGAAAATAGACACTTCCTCTGTCTCATAGGGATTTTCCATTTTCTTGTAAAACTTGTAAATGGGACGGAAGGAGTGAGTGAGTGTGTGTGAGTTTATATCAAAACAAGAAGTCGTGTGTGTACTCATGTTAACCTTATCTTCCAAGAAAGGCTTAAAATATTGTTAGTGATAGTCTTAAAAATGGAGCAACACAAGGCGAGCAACTAACAAACTATAATGACTTTGTATTTTTTTCTTCCATTCAACTCAAAATTTATAAGGATCGTCTCGTTACAGAGCAAGGCTTGAACCCTTTTTGCTTGTCTGGTTTGGGCATTTTTGAAGGGCATGAATGGTTTTTGTTTTACAAATTTATCTGCATTTGTCAGTCTTAGCCTGGAAAATAATTACAGAGTATAAAAGTATATGTTCAGTTAAATCATGTAATTCTAAAATAATTTGTCATCTTCAAGCTCTTCTAGCTATCTGAATGTATAAATAAACAACAACGACCAAACCCAGTATAATCCCAACTGCATTGGGGTCTCGGGTAACATGTACGCAACCTTACACAGTAAAAAACCGAGAATATTTATATTAGACCCTTGATGCGTGGATGCATTTACTACCAAAAAATTCACAGAATGCGAGAAGGAAATGAAGTTCATTGTGTCATTTTGATTCAGTCCATTTATTACCAAACGCTAAAACATTGTCGAAACGAACCTTTTAGTTCCAGTCCATAAGCAATGTAAGAAAAATTAATAAAATAAATATCACTCCTCCAATCCCAATCCCCTGAAATCCCCAAACCAAAAAAGGGCTTCGGAAACTGCTTCAAAATATGGCGCTAGAATAGAAAGATGAAGATTTGATGATTGAAAGCCACAATTTGGGGATTCCCATGGATAAATGTTAACCTGGTTTCAAGTCACGGTGTATGATTCCATGAGAGTGTAAGCATTCCATGGCACGAGCAATGTCAAGTGCAAATCTAATTGCTACATTCGTATCTAAGCACCTGGGCCGCATGTTCACCAAGTACTTTCTCAGGGTCCCGCCGAGAAGCAGCTCAGTTACAATGACCATCACAGGCTCCTTACAGGCCCCTATAAACTGTAGCCAAGAATATTTCAATGTATTCATGCACAACTGTTGCATCCAAACATGGAAAACTGATTAAAACCTTTTACATATAAAAAACACAACCTTCACCAAGTTCTTGTGTTGAACTCTGGATAACATGGCAACCTCTCTTGCGAACCGGGCATCCCTCTTGCTAATCTCCTCCGGTGTCTCCCCTTTATGGACAATTTTGATTGCCACATTTTGGTTTCTGTATCTGCAAACAAACACCGGAACATAAACCCCTCTCCATCAGAAATGAAATTTAAAGAATCTATCACAGAACTTGCCACACTGACCAAAGCAGAGTAATTATCATTACTGCACCACAAGCAACCCAAGAACTTCAAAAGATCATGTTTTTAAGGAGGAAAAGGTACAGAAGAAAGTCAACTCACTTTCCTTCATATACTTTGGCATGAGCACCCTCCCCAATCTTGGGCCCAACAAAGAGGAGCTTTGGATCAATCAACCACTTGGAGTCCAAATTGAAGTCTCCACCAGAGTAGAACCCACTTGCAGATCCCATCTACACCCTATTGCTTATCTAGGTAGCTAGCTAAGCTAGAAAATCTGTCTATTAACCAACCGGAAATCTAGGCATTTCAAGAAAAGAAAATAGTAATACTACTAAAACACTCAGAGTGCACGGCCTCCGAGGTCAATGGATCTTGGACGAACTCCTTCCTGCTTGCTTTAGGGAACAAAACACTGAAAACCCCGCATGTTCACCGGGACAGCCACAAATGAATAAAATAATTCAATAAAAATTGAAAAAAAAAAAAGATGTTAAAGATAGAATCTTTTGGTCAAGCTTATCACTTGGCATGTGAGATGGGAAAGTGAACAAAGAATATATTTGATTATTTTGAACGCTAAACTTATTTTTCAATAAAAAACAATGAATCAGGGTGTATTTACAATTTACAACAAAGGGTATTTTGCACTTGTAATAGTTACTGGGGACGGAGAGACCTGGAAGAGATTAAGCTTGGTGAGATTGTTGATGTGCAGAGACATGAAGCGGCGGGGGGCGGGTGGAACTCGTGAAGGAACCCAATGCCCATCACATACTTTACCATCACAACTGTTGTCTGTAAAAGAATAACTCTAGTGTAAAAAGGAAATGGTTGTTTTAATGACATACACATACTCCTTTTCTAAATTCAAATTCACCTACTTTTTTTACTAGGGAGGAAAGGCAAATCAAAAAATTCAAAAAATTACTGCCGGGTACCCTCAATTTTGTAATAAGAACTGTCAGGTCTCATTATTTTTCCAAATATACTCCGGGGTACCTTAAATTATCCAAAAAATTACTAGCTGGTGACATTCCGTCCATGCCTCCGTTAGTTTTTCTATCCGTTATCTTTTTCTTCTTCTTTCTTATTTCTTTCTCTTTTTTTTCTCTCTTTCTTGTACCAGCCCCCCCCCCTCCCACCTTCCCAATCCCCATCAGAGACCAGCACCCCTCCTCCCCATTTTTTAGAATGAGACTAAACTATATACTCCCTCCGTCCCACTCTTTTTGTCCACTTTCATTTTTGCACACCATCCAATGCACTTCTTTAATCCATTTTATTTTGTAATTTGTATATTAAAAAATTATAAAAATTATATATTAATAATCTATATGTTAAGACAAATCAAACAAGATCACACATGACTATTTTTAGACTTACATATTGAGAGAATTTGATGAGTCAAAGTGCTTAGATGAACAGTTCCAAAAGTCAAAACTGGACAAAAAGAGTGGAACGGAGGTAGTATTTTAGAAAAATAGCAATACTTATTATTATTATTATTATTATTATTATTATTATTATTATTATTATTATTTCATGCGGAGTATTTATTGTTATTTTCTTCGTATTCTATTATTATTATAAATTGCTCCATATTATTTTTATTTATTATTATTACTATTATTATTATTAAAAAATTAGTTATTATAAAAATAGCATTTATTTTTATTTAGGAAAATAGCACTTATTATAAAAAAACACTTATTATTAATACTATTATTTATTAAAAGCAAATAATTAGTAATTTTACTATTTTACTCTTTTATAAAAATAATTAGTATTACTTTGCATTAATTATTATATATTTCTTATTTTTTATTTTTCTTCTATTTTTTTAATTTATTATTATTATTAAAAGTTAATTAGTAGTTTTGTTACACTATTTTTTAAGTAAAATAACACTAATTATTATTTAAATTAAAACTTATTACTATTATAATTAAAAATAATTACTAGTACTTTTACTACTCTAATTTTTTGTCATTCCATGTTGTTTTTCGCATTAGTCACGTAGTGGTCAGCAGCAGCTGCCACTGATAGTGGTATATCTAGAAAATGAGAGGACTTAGGGTAAGAATAAGACGGGTAAATTCATCTGGAATTTTTTTATAGATAATGTAAAATGATAAAAATGATGTTAAATTTCATATTAGTATAATGAATTAAAATGTATAATTTATAACCAAGGGAATACATACATATATATATATATATATATATATATATATATATATATATATATATATATATATATATATTAGAAATTGTACATAAATATATTAGAAAAGGTAATTTTTAATTTAAGCTTTAAAATATGTTAACCTTTTTTATGCAAGTGAAAATTGGAAATTGGGAAAGGTCAATGTGGGCATACAATTGTTTTTAATGGGGTTTTAAGTTTATTTTGCTAAAAAAGTTAGAGTAGTAAAACTAATAACTAAGTAAAATGATAAAAATAAATAATCATAATTATTATAAAATATAATAAAATAATACAATAACTAATAATAAAATAATAATAACTAATAGTAATAATAATAATAATAATAATAATAATAATAATAATAATAATAATAATAATAAAAGAAGAAGAAGAAGAAAAGAAAACATAGTGGAAGAAAAAAAGGGGGGTGGGTGGTCTCTAATGGGAATTGGAAAGAAATAAGAAAGAAGAAGAAAAAGATAACGGACATTGAAAGTAACGGATGCATGGACGGATTGTCACCCCTTAATAATTTTTCGGATAATTAAGGTACCCCGGAGTATATTTAGAAAAATAATGGGACCTGACCATAGTTTTTAAAATCGGACCGGACCGGCCGGTTCGGACCGAGAACCGGCGAACCGGTGACCAAACCGGTCCGATCCGGACCAAAAGACCGCTTATGCTATGAACCGGCGTGAACCGGAAAAAACCAGCAGAACCGTCCGGTTGAACCGGTAGCCGGTATTTTTTTTTCCCCGAAAATCCTCCAAAATGTGAGGGTAAGGATTCGATCCCTAGACCTCCCACTCACTTACACGCCTAACCACCACCTTAGCTAAAGTCCTCTTGTGTTGCATTTAGCATAAAGTGGAAATATATAACAACCGGAGTATATTTTTTGATAAAAGAATTCTTAAATAATTTCTTTTCCAAACACATTAAAAATATAATATTGTAACTATAATGTAAACTTTTACTACTTCGTATTCTAAAATACATACTACATCCGTTCATAAGTATTTGTCTAGTTTTGACTTTCTTTGGTCAACTATTTTTAACGTTTAACCTTTTAAAAAAATATGCATTGTATTTTATTCAAATAAAATAATATTTTGAAAACATTTGATGTAATAAATCTAATATAACTCTTTTTGTATCAATATTTAATAATTTGAGATCAAAGTTTACTAATTTTGACCCAAAAAATCAAAAGTGGAAAAATAATTGGGGATGGAGGGAGTAATACATGTCAATGAGATATTTAAATTGAATAAATTTTGAAAACATTGGACAAACTCTTGAAAAAATAAAATCTCCTTCTATTATACGAATATAAACTTTTCAATATAATTTTTAAATATGTCATTGTATATATTTTTATCAATTTAATGCTACTATTCAAATTAATTAAATTGATTATAACTTTAGTCATATATCATAAATAACTTGATTATTTATATTTTTATATAGAAGTATTTTTTGATATATATATATATATATATATATATATATATATATATAATTTTCAAATATGCGTGAACCACTAGTTCGACAACCTGAACCACCGGTCCGACCAGTGAACCAGTACGTTAGCCGGTTCGGTCCCCGGTCCGGTTCTAAAAACTATGGACCTGACAGTTCTTATCACAAAATCGAGGATATCCGACAGCAACTTTTTCAAAGGCAAATTGTGATGGGTGACCCTCATTTCATAGATCTTAAAGGTTATTGTTTAGAACGGGAATAAATTAAAAGAAATTAGAAAAAATTAGAACATAATGCAAAAATTAGAAGACGTGAAGAAACAAGAAAAAACTATAAAAAGCTAGAAATTGATATATCGATCAAATTAACTTTCAAAAGTTATTTGTAAAATCACTGTGATTTTTAAATTGTGCACAAAAGCCCTTGCTTGCCTATTTTTAGAAATAAAATGACATTTATACCCTTTATTTTTCCATTTCTTCAAGTTTCAATCTTTTATTTGCATTTTTATTATACAAATAAAAAAATGCACCCTCTTTATCAAATTAAAATTTTTTATTTATTTATTTTTCCAAATGTTTTTTAGAAAATGTTACAAAATAAAATGAAATAAAATACATTTTTTTATTATAATTAAAAGTAAAATAAATAAAATAAAAAATTAGATAATATATACTCACTCTATCTCAAATTAAAAATTCTAACTTATTCGTTTTTTAAAAGTAAAATAAATTGTTAAGGACTTTAAAAAATTAAATGAGGGTCACCCATCATTTGATGAATTTGATATAATAAATCTAAGGAAATTATTTTTATATACATATTAAATATTATTTTTATTTAATTTGAAATCAAAATTTATCAATTTAACTAACAAAAGTTAAAAATTAACAGATAATGAGAAGCAGATGGAGTAACACACGAGACCGAGCTCGTTTGGGCCTGAATGCCTCGACCTACAAAGTTGCACCCCATGTTTTATGAATTGGGCCGACGCATGAGGTCCAAGTATGGAGTACATTTTTATTGGTCGACTTGATGTGATCTGATCCGATCTGTTCCGTAATATTTCTGATTTTGCCTAATATTTTCTCGTCTAAAAAATACTTCGTATGGATCTTTTTTTATTACAATGTTTACTATTCTAAAATAATGATAAATTTTGTTTATTCGTGTATTTTCATTAATTATTTGATAAAATAAAATATTCTTTATTTGATTAAATAAAGTTTCTTGTCACCTCTTTTTTATGTAAAACTTTTGATATAATTTTCAAATATGAAAATTTTATTTTTTTTATTTATCTTTGAAGCTTTAAGTAAAATGGATTGAAAAAATTTTAGATTTTTTTCGTTTAGCGTAATTTGTATTCAAAATAAAGATGGAAGGAGTAAATTTTTCTAGTCAAATGTGATTAAAGTATGATTATGTAATATGGGAAAAAAGTCAACACTGCACAAGACTAAGCATTGAATAAAGTCATGTTTAGTTGTGAATTTAAGCATCTATTCAGATCCATGCGCTAATATCAAATGAGATGGTGGTTACCATAAATTGTAAGAGTGAGCAAGTTCCGAACTGATTCTGAAATGTTCTGAAAAAATTGAGAATACCAAATCGGAAAAGTATTGAGGATCCGAACCATACCAAACCGAACGGTCGGTACGGTATTTGGAAACGGTACAAGGTGACGTCTCGTACCGAAAATCCCGAACCGAACATATATACTAATAAATTATAAAAATAATAATATTTTAATATTTTTTCACTAAATAATAAATTTATTTTTAAAATTTGGTTCAAGTTCTATTATGTGTAAGTTATACTTTTATTTGAGTTTTAATTTTTGTATATGAACATAAAAATATTCACAAAGATTCGAAATATTTCTTTTTTATTGTTCATTTTTTTAGTTTGTGAAATGCAGAATATAAACAAAGTTTTGATGCGCACCTCTTGCATTTAAATATTTTTTAATGTTTTGGTTTAAATTTACTTTCAATTTTCTAAAATAAAGGGCATTGTCACATTTTAAGGTGTAAAGTACGTATGTTTATTCATTCTGATTTGTACTAAAACCGATCTCGAATCGTACCGAACTAATATTTCGAGATTGGGAACAGTACAGTATGTGTAAAATCTCATAACAAACAAAAATATTTGATACAGTATCCGTACAATGCTCACTCCTAATAAATTGCAGGATGGAGGAAAGCTAGAAGATACTCATATTTTATTGAAACGATTCATAAAAAATGATTTATAAAAGGACTACTACGTACTCCGTGTCCCCGTACAATAATTTATATTCTTACAATTATTTAACATACTCGGAAATTATTCTTTTTTTTAATATATAAATTTGTTGGGGACTAGACAAATAATTGGAATGGGAGAACCACGTGCGTGTGCATCCTCAAAATAATTGAAGATTCAACGATTTTTTTTTAAAATTATAACTTCTCCAAAATCGACTCCAATTGTAAATTGAGAAATGTTAAACCATGTTATAAAAATCTTATGTGCTGTTCGATACCGAATTTAACAAAAATGTTACCTAGTAAAAGAATAAGAAAAAGTCTAATTGAAATTTGTTATGGAAAAAAAAGGCAATGAACTACACATTCGTTTCCTTAATAACTCGATGAGTGTAAGTAGGACAATCATTTCATAGTAAAAGTTATATTTCTTTTTCTTTAAAAAAAAGCACAAGCATTCTGCATGTGTTTCTAGTGACTGGAACAGCTTCCACGCCCAGTTCTTGTTGAAATAGAAACAGGGGAAAAACTGTACTAAGTAATAAACATGCAATAATGACCAGTGGGAAGAACATCAATAAGAAAGAATGTCTAATATAATGAACTTTAATTACATTTGGTTCCTCATCATGAGTCCTGACACAGAACAACAAAGTGAGTGAGTGGTACACAGAAGGAGACATCTTAAAGGCAGGCAGGCAGACAACCACATTTATATGTATAATTCTTCAAACTCCACAGTGATGATTGATTGACCTTATGAGCAGAGACCAATCAAACAGAAGAGGCAATGAAAGAACCAAAGAGAAAAAACAAGGAAACAAACCAACTAACACAAACAACGCATATGATGATGAACTAGAAGAAATCAATCTCAAAATAATTATCGGAAGACGCGACTTCACCACCACCACCTTGCGCGGGCGATCTCTGCACCGCAGCTGCTGCCTCTTGGGGTATAAATGGTTTAGGGACGTCAGGGGGGCTGGCACACCTGATCAGCGCCCAATTCACACTCTGGAAAAACGGGTGCTGCTTTATCTCAGTGGCCCCGCGCCTGTACGCCAGCCGGTGCTGTGGCTCCTTCACTAGGAGCCCCCTGATCAAGTCCCGGGCAGCGAAGCTCACCGTTGGAGTTTCTGGGAATTTCAAGGGCTGCCCGACCACATTGAACAGCGTTGCCCGGTTCCCCTGCCCTTTAAATGGAGTCTTCCCAAACAAGAGCTCGTAAAGAAAGATCCCAAACGTCCACCAATCAACAGCACTCCCGTGCCCTTCTCCTTTTATGATCTCGGGGGCCAAGTACTCGTGGGTCCCAACGAAAGACATGGACCGCGCATTTGTGGGCTCCGCCATCAGCTCAGGGAGCGGGCTTACTTGGTTGTGTATCTCAGAAGCCTTTGCTTTGGGCTTCTTCTTGTCTTTCTTGGGCCTGCTAAGGAATCGCGGCGAGAAGCAGGCCGGTTGGATGCACGAGGGCTGGATCACGCACGAAGGCTCGATACAGTATCCCGATTTCTTTGACTCCATGTTTGAGTTTGAGGATTTGACCAGAGTTGGGCTCACCGCGCACCTTAAGGAGAGGTCAAAATCAGACAGCATTATGTGTCCATCTTCCCTCACCAATACATTCTCTGGTTTCAGGTCTCTGTATATGATGCCCAGCATGTGCAGGTACTCTAATGCAAGCAGAACTTCTGCCACATAAAACCTGCACGCTCCAACGATGAGAAATCACATGATGAATTCTAGGATGATGGATTCCAGAAGATGGGAGGGAAAGAAAACATTGATGAACATTGAAATAAAATGCCAGACAGATAAGACTGAGAAATCTATGTGAAAGAAAACTAATTCATTTGCCTTCACACAATCCAAGAAAAAACCAAACGCGATAGAATTTCCTTAAATTATTTTCCTTTCATTAGCATTTTTTGAAATCCATTTGGACCCCGGAAAATGCTAATGAGGGAGGGAAATATTGATGAAAAACATATGGAAAGAAAATATGAGAACAAAACAAATTATTTTACTCCGATATAATTTCGATGATAGCAAGATATTCACTTTATTATTTATATTTATACTCAATAATATAAAAAGAGATAAAGAACTTTTTCATACAAAAAGGCAAAGCTAAAAATAATAACCATTTATTTTTCATTTTACATTGCATTTTATGAGGTAAACCCAAACACAAGAAAGTAATTTTTCTTTGCAGTTTTTTCTTTACCTGGTATTTTACGAGATCCAGACATATCTTTGGAGATTAAAAGTTACAACCACAACATTGATAAAAATGGGAAGAAGAACCCAAACCTGGCAGCATTCTCTGAAAAAAACTTCCCAGGCTGTCTTTGACGAAGAGCATGCAAATCTCCACCAGGACAGAACTCCATCACCAAGCAAGAGGACTTATCAGTCTCAAAGTGTGAATACAAAGTGGGAAGAAAGGGATGATCCAAACATTGCAGTATCTCTCTTTCTGTCTGAGCTCTCACAAGCTTCTTACGTCCCTCTAGAGTAGCCTTATCCATCACTTTCATAGCAAAGTAACTTCTTGTGCCAACTAGCTCGGCTAGATAAACACTCCCTATGTCGCCACACCCCAACCTCTTGAAAACCCTGAAGTGGTTATATCCTAGCGTTCCATCGCGAGATCTCACGGCTTGGATTGCTTCCCATCTTGTATCATTTGCCTTGTGAGGTTTATACATTGCACTGCTAAAGCTACTTGAGCTGCTCTCATCACTAACGTCACTACCCGTGCTTGCTCTATATATGCTTGTCTTCCTACTTTCAATATAATCACAAGAGTTGCTAATCTCGCCACTATCACCCGACTTTTCTATACTGCTAACACATTCACTAAGTTCTGTATTGGTGAAGCTTTGTTTGGCTTCTGCGTATTGTGTAGCAGAGTAGAAACTCTGTTGGGGACTAGGACAGTATCCAGATTTAGGAACCTCCATAGGCTCGTTTGACTTGTTGTCCTTGCCCGAAGAACCCTCTGGACGAAAAACTTCAAGTTTCCCTTTATCTGACCCCAAATTCGAGGTTTCAGGATTATCATCGGGCGCTTTAAAAGAATTCTTGGGGTTGACAATGGACGCTGTTGGGGTCTGAAGAATCTTTGATTCCGAGTTAACCGGAATAGGATGTGATGAGGATGATCCATCAAGTCTATGCTGCTTCATCGAGGGATGATGTGGGGGACGGCTGGATGGGGCTGCAAAAGAAGAAGCATTGCAGTCTGCTACAGAATTATGACCATTGGGCAATGAGCTGATCCCATCAACGAGTGCTTCCATTGTTCAATTTGAAAGAAACTGTTGCAAAAGAAATGAGTTGAAGATGATGATTATTATCATTCATACAACACACAACTGAAAGTAAGCCCCTAAAAAAAGAAGTTACCCTTATAGAGATAGATGCATTTAACACTGGCAGTAGATCTAATTGGACAGCAGAAAGCTTTGAACACTACTTATTCAGGAAATCCATCAAAAGAAACCCAAATGCAAGTTGATCACAAAATTAGAACCAACATTAAATGAAAAGATGTCAGAAATGAAATTGCCAACGGACATAAAGAATCCGGATCAAGAATACCCAGAGGTTACCGATCTCTGTCTCGTATGAGAATCTAATACGAAGCATACGAGTGAAGAAGCAGCAGAGAATTACCTGATCAAGAATAGAGATTGGAGACTAATAATACAGTTCCATGGCCGTCGGGGGAGAGAAGGCGACAGATTTGGAACTGGGAACGGCGATTCGGATCCCGTTCAGATCCGATCCAACCAGGAAAAACGGGGAAACCCAATTTCGGACTGTTTCCGTCGATTGATGGGCGGATTTGCGGCTCTTCCTGCCGGAGGAGTGAATGAAGGAAAGTGGACAGAGAGGGCAAAGCGGAGAGGCTGGTATTTATTCACCCTTCAAAACAAGCAAATAGTGAAAGTTCCAATCGCTTTCCCTCTCTCTATCTCTCTCTCTATCTATCTATCAATGGATTTGTCGCTTCCTCTTCTCTTTATTCTACACAGTCTCCGCCATCGTCATCTTCTTCAGCTTCGCCTTTCTGACAGGGGGAGAAGAATGGAACACAGCCAAACGCGACGCTTCTCTCTCATTCATTTCTGGGTGGGGAATTATTAATTATTATTAATAGGGAGTGTAATAAGAAGAAATCAATTGGGAATTAGGAATGCAATGAACTTAGCAGTAAGAGTGAGGGAGAGAGAGAGAAAGAGATTTCCAGTTAAATTACGCCACGTCAGGCGCTGAGGAGCCCCGGTATCCCCTGCTCCTCGGAGATTCGTTTAGTAATGATGCAAATAAGGCAAACTTCACCTAGCTTAAAAATAGTGAATTTTGAATGAAGATTTTGTTAATGAAATTGAAAAAGATATCACCTAAAATAATAGTAAAATATAGAGAAAGTATTGAAATAAAAATTTCATTTTTTTATTTTCTAAATAGAATTTCGGAGTGTGATAATGTACACGTACATTTCAGCATACTTTTGATAATGTAAATAGTCATGGTTAACACTTTAAATACATTTTAACTTCTCTTTAGAAATAAAAATATAGAACTCCTATTTTGTTAATTTTTATTGTTTTACTTATACTTTAGTTTGTTTTTTAAAACTACTTTAGTTTGTTTAAAATCATTTTAGAACAAACAAAAAAAGAAAAATGAAAGGGTCTTTTCTGAATGGATGGATTATTTTTAGCTTAACTAAACATTTTTTGTTGAAAGTTTTATTGAATGATAAAGCAAAAAATTATTCGAAAAATCACTTTTCAAATATAAGAGTTAGTAATGAAAAATAACAAACCCAATGTATAACTAATTACAAAGTAATATTTTAGTGGTAACATTATAGTTTGGGATATTGGCTTGTTCCATATTATATATCATTTTGAAAACGAGATTTTAATTCGAGATAAATAACTAGAAGCATTTTAATACTCACCTTTGAATTGGCTCATGTTGAGTTGTTGATTCTATTCAAAATATTAACGAGGAACCGGTATTTTCCTCACCCTTAACAAATACTCTGTAACGAAAATAAAGGTTAAACTCCATCATTGGTCCTTCAACTTTATCAATTGTGCACGATTGGTCCTTCAAGTTTTAAAAATCCATAAATAGTCCTTCAACTTTATGAGTTATGCACGATTGGTCATTCAAGTTTTAAAAGTGCATAAATAGTCCTTCAAGTACACGTCAGCCCTCCAGATGAGGTCCTTTTGACAGTAAATGTTAAAAGCTAAATAGAATACTAGCTCCATATAATACGGAGTAGTCGTACCTAATGGAATTTACTCGTATTATATGAAACTAGTATTTTATTTAACTTTTAAAATTTACGGTCAAAAAGACTTCATATGGAGGGCTGACGTGTACCTGAAGGACTATTTATGGACTTTGAAAATTTGAAGGACCAATGTTGCAGAACTCATAAAGTTGAAGGACTATTTATGGACTTTTGAAACTTGAAGGACCAATCGTGCACAACTGATAAAGTTGAAGGACCAATGATGGATTTTAGCTCGAAAATAAATTAACCTTCATACTTCCTAATATTTAAAAAAATGTTAAAAGGTCAAAAGTATTTAATTGAAAATTATTTAGATGAAAGAGAATTTATATGAATCACATGTTTATCACTTTAAAAGGAAATTCTAAAAAATCCGTTTTTAAGAAATGAATTTAAAATGTGAAATAAATCTTTCCAATGGGTATCGTGGGAATCATTATCATGCTCTATCTCAAAAATGAATTAGATAATTCGTCATTATTGTTTTATTGAATTTGAAAAGTGGGTAATTAATCAGACTTACAAAAATTAAATAAAAAAAGTGAAGGATTAATTACTGTAAATGTGTAGGTTAGAAAATGAATAGTAGGTAGATTGGGACAGAAGTGCATTCGGTGTATTTGTAGATGTAGATTAGAAAATCAACAGCTTTGGATCAATTAATCCGACCAATGAATCAAATTGATTCTGGTATGAAAACCACCATTGTTCTGAACTTGTGATTGCTACATGGACCAAAATGTCAAAGGAACAGGTTGCCTTGCTGGCCTATTGTACTGGATGCCCACAAAACAATATACGAAACATTTATTTCTTAGGTCCCGTTTGTTACATGGAATTCAAACTATGGAATTGGAATTGAGGACTTCAATTCCAATTCTGGTATTTGGTAGCATAAAAATTATGTGGATTTAGACTTGGTAGTGCAAAAAATGAATTGGAATTGGTGAATTCAATTCTATGGAATTGAATCCTATGGAATTTTAATTCCAATTCAATTCTAATTCCATCAATTCCATGTACCAAACGGACCCTTAGAGAAAAAAAGTTTGGAAAAGTCCCACTTAACATATCATGTCTAATCAAAATTATTGGCGGTGCAATTGAAGGAGGTGTGAAATGTGTTCGGGTTGGGCGGAATGGGGGTTTACCAAGGGGATTAGGGGTAAAACCGTCAAGAGGATAAATGTGATAATATCTTTGTTCATATTTAGTGTCAAAAGTGGCAAACATACCCACAAAATTTGCCCCCATTAAGGTGAAATAGAGAAAAGTGCACTATTTACTCCTAAATTTTTCGAGAATTACACAGTTTGCCACTGAACATTTAAAAGTTTTATACAAGTGTTATACTCAATACTCTGTTCCTATAGACTACGTACTATGTAATTGTTTATTATGGGATACGACGTTTTACATACATTACAAACGAGATGAATATGAACATTCATTATGTCCACATTCATTTAATTTTTAATGTTTGTAGAAAATCATATCGGATAGTTATTTAAAAACGGATGGAGTATTAGTTATTATTAAGGGAATGAATTTAGCAAATTTGTGTGGAAGAATGAACTTAATTAATCATACAATGTGTGATTTTAGTCACATCCAAAATCAATATGTACAGATTATGTTTTAGGATGATAGGAGTTTTTAATTAAACCTAAATGCCGAAGTATTACTCCCGGTTGATGGTGGTTGGTAATTGCAATATTAATGTTGGTTGATGATCATGACAAAAACTAAGAAAATCCAAATTAATTTTCTAGATTTTGTAGCAGACTTTATTTTGACTTTTTTTATAAACTTTATTTTCCTATAAGGGGCAAACATACCCATGCCAGAAGGTGCTTTGAGCTTTACTGGAGTCTTGTCTTTGTTAGAATGCCTTCTTCTTCACCTTCCCATCTTAAATGTGTGCACAATTTCTCAATTGATTCCATTTTAGCAGGAAACGATTCATTTTTTGTGATGCGCCACGAGGAGTTTGGAATCCGCCACCTCGCACCACCTTTTTTGCCCACAAGTCGCTCAGTTTTCTTTCTAAGTGAAATTTGCACGAAATAGCACTAAAATATTACAAATTCAAAAATTACGTCAAAGTTCTACAAAAATTATCGAGATGTGAGAGAAAAAAATTGTAATCTAATTGGGGACGGAGGTAGTATATTCTTTTTCAATGTAGTACTTAAAGTTGAATAATGCCTAGTGGTAGAAACAATGTCGGGTGATGATGGATATTTAGCTTGAACAATATCCAGTGGCGGTGGACATTTTCTTGAACAATGACCAATAGACATTGAACATTGATGCTACATTGGAAAATAAAAACATATCGTACTACATTGAGAAGTTATTATGTTTTAATTCTATTTAGATAGATTCTCGTTTTTATTGGTTTTTTTCCAAAAAGAGGTAAGGGTGTGTTCGAATTTGATTTTTATCCAAAATTTAAGACACAACAAAAACTAAGGAGGGTATATTCAATTTAGATTGTTTTGGATTTTTTAGATTTTAAAAAGTTGGTGGATTTAGAAAATTGATAGACTTCATGAAGAGTTTGGCCGACTAATTTATTGATTTACATAGATTTGAGATGACATCTTTTATTGATTTTTTGATAAAATGAAGGTCTGCACCTCATTTGGAAACAAAATAGAGTTGTAATGAAAAAAATTGATGTGACACTGAGTTAGGATTAAAGATGGTGAACGTGTCTCAGTTGGCAATTGGCATCACTACATCCATCGATGAGGGTTGGCGTGCTCAGCGAATCCCTCCCCTTTAGTAATTATTAAGAGAAAATTATAGAATACACGGAATCATAAAGTGTTCCTTATTAAAAACTTCTTTATAAAATATTGAGATCCACAATGTATTAATTTTATTTACAAAAAAATTCTAATTAATTAAGTCATACACACTCCTTATTTTATTGTAGAAACTTATATTTGTTTAAGCGATCATTTAATTGAGTTTATAAAAATGAATTATTCTTTATTCAAAGTTAGTTTTCTTACATACTTATTTGAATGATCATTTAATTGAATAATTTTTTCACACTTTTTTTTCCAACTTCTTTAAATTTTTTCTAACGTCTTCCTATTTTTTCAACTACTAGTTTCTTCTTATTTTTTCAACATCTAATATTAGAATTCTTACTGAAAAGAAAAGACAAAATATTAAGAAAATATCTTATTTATCAATAAAAAGTTTTGTCATAAGTGAAGAGAAATACTCCGTAATACTCACTCCGTCCCCCATAGATCTTTCCAATAACCCTTTTTCTTTGTCCACAATAGATCTTCTCATTTTATTTTTTAATAATTAAAATACCACAACTATCCACACTTACTTTATTTATTACACCTCATCCACCTCATTTAATACACTCCATCTATTTTTCATTAAAGGTATTATGGTAAACTTTCACCTTTTTTCAACTCTCCTTAAAAACCACTAAAAGTCAAAATGAGAACATATTAGGGGGACGGAGGGAGTATATATTTGAGAAAGAGCATTATCGTAAACCTTTATATGAGGATGCTTTTATAATACATGAAAAAGAAAAAACAATAAGGAATTTTTATTTTTTACACCATTTATTTAATTCCAATTGGTAAGGAATATTTTTCCTTACCATTTAAATAAACTTTGATATGTAAGAAAGATCATATTAATGCAACATACTAAGAGTACATCAAAATAGTGTGTCGCATTTGTACACCAGACTAACACAAATATTATATATTTGTCCATAAGAGACACATAAGGTCTGTATTAGCTTTATTT